TGCTCTATGGTGGATGGCGCCGGACCTTTAAAGTTCTGCCGCCGGGACCCTGCTGCCACTTTAAAGCCATGCTTCAGCTGCCTGAGCAGCCTCGCTTCACCGTCCGCCCGCCCGTCGCCTCCTGTCCTCCCTTGCCCTCTCCGCCCGCCGGATTGGAGCTGGAAGCCTCGCTGGAGCAGTCACTGTCCGGGGGCATGGCTTTAAAGTGGCAGCAGGGTCCCGGCGGCAGAACTTTAAAGGTCCGGCGCCATCCACCATAGAGCAGGTCCCGGTCCCGCTCTATGGCGGATGTGACGCCGGGGCTTCAGCGGGCTTTCATGCTTGCCTCAGCAGCCATGAAGCTCACCGCACATCAATGTATGTATGTATGTATGTATGTATGTATGTATGTATGTATGTATGTATATCTGTGTGTCTGTGTACACATACACACACATGCATATGAATGCACATACAAAGATATAATGTGCAACAAGGCCATTCTAGAAGAAAGAATGCCATGTTGCAAGGCACTCAGAAAAGAGGAAAATTAAAATTCTTCTATGAAATGGTTTATTAAGAAAATATTCTGGGATTTTACATAATAGTTTATGTTGCATCAGTGAAAAAGTCAGATGAATCTGAAAGAATGTTTTTGGTGTTAGAAGTTTTTGCAAACCAAAATCTACTTGCCAGATGTGCAGAATGATATGTCATCTTAAATTGGCAGAATAGATGTTCCAACTTCTTTAAAAAAATCTAGTGTGTGTGTAGAGCAGACATGAAGATACTGTATTCAAGCAGCATGATCTGTCTAATATTTACAAAGATCGGAATTGTACAAACCCTGGTATTCTTTGTGATACACTGTGAAAATGGAAGTTGGATTCTATAGGATAAGAAGAGTATTAATGTTTTTGAACGTTGGTACTGGAGAAGATAGAATATTGTGATCAGCCAAGAAACCAGACCTATGGATCTTTGAACAAATCAACCCAGACTTCTCACTCAAGGCACAAATGACCAGGCTTAAATTATCCTACTTTGGACACCTGATGCAAAGACCAGGCTTTCTAGGAAAAGTTTTAATGCTGAAAAAGATAGAGAAAAGAGAAGAGGAAGACCAGCAGCAAGGTGGTCACTTATAGAGGCAAGGAGTACACCACTGGGAGACATGAGAGAATAGGACAGGGATAGATTGACATGGAAAAAAGAGATCTATGTGGTTGCTAGGAATTGAAAACAACTTAATGTTACATAATCAATCAACCTATGTATGTTTAAATTTTATGAACCACTGTTCATATATCTGATAAAATGAACTCTGAATCATAAAAGTTTATGCTGATACTTAGCATGCTACAAGGGTTTGTTGATTTTGCCTCGGAGATATAAAAGAATGTAGAAGAAGAATGAAAAGTGTAAGGACTATGAACCATAGGGGATTGCACAGTAATACATTAACCTTTGGAGATTTTGGGGAAAAGTCCATAGAAGTGGAATAAGAAAGGTGGGAGGGAGTTGCATCTTTACGATGTCTCCAAATATCCTGGAAAATGAGGAGCACATGTAGTTGGCATTAGGGTAAATTAAAAAGGGAAACAAATACTGTAGTGCAGCTAAGTTAAATTTTATAGCAGAGTTTAGCAGCCAGCAGAAGTGAGTAGTCAGACATCTGAAACTAAGGGTTTCAAGACTCAGAAAAGAGAAAGAAATAAAATACACACTCCTTCCTTAGGAAAGAAAATTGCTTGTTGGAGATCATTAATTCTGAATGATTAATAGAAGAGGGAATTTGTGGTATGGAGGAAATACAGAAACTACCCTCTTCTTTGTTATCAACTTTCTAGATGCGATGCTAGCATTGCCAAACTCTCTGGAGATATCAATATCATCAGGCATGAGTTTTCAAAACTAGAGAAAGAAATTCATGCTGTGCAGTCTTCCTTGGACAATTATGTGAATAATATTGAGATGAAGGTGAGTGGCTCTGAAGTGAATGTATTCATCTGTACTGTATGTTAGAAATCATTCAACTTCTCCATTTGATTTAAAATTGCTGACTCATGTTAATGGAAGAGAAAAGCAGATGGCTTTTTTCATATAGGTGGTAATGGAGACACAGAAGCATTATGATGGAATTAAGATCCATTGCAAGTGTACAATTAATATGGTACTGTGCTGACATATGGAGATTGAAAAATGATGCTGTGTCTTCACAATACTTACCATTTCTATGTAACTTTATTTTTGACTAATGATCGTTTATTAACCAATTGTAAAACAAATAAAGATACAGGCTGTTTTTTTTGTAACTCGGATAAGGTTCTGAGATTCCCAAGCATTATTGCTCTAAATGTTTGTTAAAAAACAGGTCCTGACAATTTGGTAGAGTGGCTATATTAGTGGACTAAGGAAATGCTATGAATATAGTATATTTAGACATCAGCAAGGTGTTTTGTAAAGTAGACCACAGCCTACTTTTTGGTAAGACAGAAGGAGGTGGGATAGACAGTGCTACCACTAGATGGATTTCAATTGGCTGGCCAACTGCACTCAGCATGTGTTCCTCAATGGAACTACACTTTCATAGGAGGTATGCAGTGGGATACCTCAAGGTTATCTTTTGGGTCCAGTGTTCATCAACATCTTCCATAAATGAACCAAATGAGGGGATTGAAGTGGAGCTCATTAAATTTGTGGATGAAACTAAGCTGGAGGGAAATGCTAATATTTTGTAATATAGAGTCGAGGATCTTGTCAGAAGGAGCTTGACAGACTTGAGTATTGGGCCCTATTCAACAAGATGCAGTTTAAAGGTGAGGAAACTAATGTCCTGCATTTAGAGCATTCAGGTACAGGTTAGGCAGAACATGTCTCAATATAGTGCCTTTGAGAGGAATTTAGGTGTTCAGGTGAATCACCAGTAAAGTATAAATTAGCAGTGTGCTGCAGCTGTCCAAAAAAGCCATCACAATCCTAGATTGGCTCAACAGAGGGATAGCAGCAAAAACACAGGACATGATAGTACTGCTCTATACTGCACTAAAGAGGCCATATTTGGAATTGAGTTCTAATCACTACAATAGAAAAAAGATGCTGAAGTCCTAAAAAGAGTGCAGAGTAACAAAGATGATAAGGGATCTGGAGGCTAAATCAATGATTAAAGGAACTAGGCATTTTAGACTAATGAAGAGAAGGCTTAGGGGAGACCTGATATCAGTCTTCCAATACTTCCAATGGTCACAGGAAGATCAATTTATTATCCATAGAACCTGAGGGCAGGACAAGAAGCAATTAGCGGAAACCCATCAGAGGAAGAGCCTGGAAATAAGAATGAATTTCCTGACAGTGAGAATGAGTGGAAAAGCTTGAGTTATGGGTGCTCCAATGCTGGATGTTTTCAAGAAAAGATTGGATAACCATTTGTCCAGAATGGTATAAGGGCAGAGGGTTGGACTATAAGACCTCTAAGATACCTTTCAGTTCTATGGTTCTATGAAATGGAAGAAACTTACATTCTAATTTTAACCTATCTATATTTGAGCTTTGTTACTGAGATTTTTTTTTAATGTAAGTGTTCAGATTTTGAGCAAAATTGTTTGTGAATAGGGTTTTTTGTTGTTATTTTTTGTTTTGCTCTCTGTACCATCAACCAGACCCCACACATCAAACATTAAAAGTTAAGATTCCAAGGAAACTTTGTATTTTTTTAAAATTAGAGTTAAATGCTGGATAAAGTTATGTTATTAGATCTGTTCTTGTTGAAGAAGACTTATTGAAGTAAAAATGTATTTGGATTATTATTTTTTGTATTTGAACACTTTGAAAAAAATATATAAAGATGAATTTTAAATTGTTCACATTAATGGACTAAGAATCACTACTGAATTTAAGCTAAAAATTAGTAACAAAGACTATGGTCAATCCAGTATAAATCTTCATATTAAACAGCATACTACTAAGTTCAATTCATATTACAAAACAGCTATTTTGAATTCTGTATCTTATAAAAATATATATTCTATACATAGATAAATCCACATTTTGTATGTGGTACAAATCTATGTTTTAGATTATAATCTAAGAATAATAGTTCCCAGTTTGCTTTAAAGATAGGAAATTATTCTAGAGAGTGAGATACATTCCCATGCTTGGTTAGCTTTTCTTCCATTAATGGGATTTGACAATCTTTTCAGTAAGAAGCAGATAATATCCTTTCAGTAATTATTGCTTATAGGCCAATTCTATATACTCTGAGGAGATATGTGGTTTAGTGAAGTATAATAATATATTGAAGGTTGAAATAGGAATTTGTTTCATATTGGTTTGTCTCATACTGGTGTGAATCATTTTCCAGAATTTTTCAAGTTAGCCTGCATTGCTGCCGAATATGAAAAAAATGATCTGACCTGCTCTTTCCAGGAGATCTTTGAAAGTGAATAATATATTTTAGCGATAAAAACTGGGTAATATATCAACATTCTATACTATATAACGTTCAGCGTAAATTTTGTGTTATTCTTCCATTGAAATTCCCAGGTTATTGATACAGTTGAAATGTTTATGTGGTTATACTCTCAGACTAATCAGTCATACCTGGTGCTTTCTGTTAAAAATCTCGTGAAGTATATACTTCTGGTTCATCATACTAAAAGTTGTTCTTAAGTACTTTTTCACCCCGTTACCTTTTCTGTATTCCTAGTTAAGGGCAAGATTATTTTTCATTTTGTTAATTTGATTCCTGGATAGCTGTCAATGTCTACCACTGTTCTTGAGGCAATGGTCAACCTAGGTAGGCCAGCTATAAGATTCAAAATTATCTGACTTTATATGTGCATTGACCTCTTCTTGATGAGGAACATGAAGGCTTTGAAGAAGAGGAAAAGTCTTAGGAAGGATCTTTGCCAGGGCTTTCATAAACATCCCAAAGACCAAAAGTTCTCCAGCTCTCTATTAGAGTATGGGCTTTGTTCCCCTTCTAAAGAAATGTTTATTTGGTGACCTTATCACTATTAACAATATATGAATTTCCCAAATCTTGTATTTTTCCTTTACCAAAGTATCATACTTATTGACGAAAGATAAGCAAATGTGTTCTATGCAGAAAACGTAAAATGAAACTCTTTCGAACCCGTAATTCTTAGAAATAAAGCTTCTACTACAACCAATGAAAAAACAGAACAAATTCTTGCTTAACCATATAACATGAGTTACAGGTACAAGTAGTACTCATTTAGCAGCCACAATTGAAACTGGAAACTTGGTTGTTAAGTAAAGCAGCCACCAAGAGAAACCAAGACTGTGTTTACAATCCTGCTTCAGCTTTCTTTTGCTTTAACAGCCCTCTTAGGATTGGTTGCAAAATTATTTTTTCATCATTGTCATAACTGCAAATGACTGTTACCCAAAGCAGTCACTCTGTAAAACCGAAGGTAAGCCTTTCATGTAGAAATATGACAGAAATAGAATAATTAAAACCTTCTCAGGAAAAAGATTCACACTTGTTGACTATTCCAAATGGATTATCGCGTAGCATAGCTCTTCCTGAAAATGTACATTATTAGAGAAAAGGGTCTCATCTTCACTTTCTCTCTAGCAACCTATGTATAATCTGATCATTTCTGTACAAAGACTCTATTTAAAAAATCCAACAAACACTGGACATTAATAATTATTTTGGAATAGTTGATGGGAATCTTTTATTATGCGTCAAAATCTGAAATTCTGACTTTTCCCTTAGACACTGCAATCATAATGTGTATTTAATGACTGCTGGGATTTTAGCTCATAATGTTTTGTTGTTGTGGTTGTTGTTCCTATTAGGTAATGCATCTTTTAGGCAAGATAGACACTTCAAACTCAGAGCAAACTTCAAATTTAAAGACAATACAGGGTGATCAACACCATGAATTGCAGCTCTTGGACTTCAAGTAAGGGAACAAAGCTTTTCAATTATATTAATGTGCTTTGTGAGAAGTTATGATACAATGGTATTGGCACGAAGACAGAAGAGCACCAAATTAATTTACTTGTCTTTAAAAATCCTGACAGGCCAACAAGGACAAATGTTTATAAAATCACATAAATCTTTTTTGCAAAGCTAATTCAATGCTTTAATCAAAACTGCACAGTGCTTTCATTTACTTTCACTGATCGCTGTAAGAACAAAACTTTTCTTATTTAATGCAAAATAACTATCATGAAACAATAAGTAGAAAGAAGAAAGTCACCAATGTAAATTTGTTTTTGTATACAATCATTCTGCGAGTGAATTGGGCAGTTTCTAAATTTGCTTTATAAATACATAAAATAAATAAAAAAACAAAACTTTAGAAGATTTAGAGAAGGAAAGACTATAAAAACGAGTACGGAGAGCATCTATGCTATACATAACCATATCAGATTTTTATTTTCCTAACTCATATAAAGAAGTGTAAAATATAGCTGTGCTATGCTTCAGTTTGCTTTTTGAAGAATTTAAGCACAACTTAAATGCAGCACTACGTTCATTGAAGCAACTGTGTTTCTAAGATTGATATTGTGTCAGTGAAAGCCCTACTGAAATGACTGCTGAATATTGAAAAGATGCGGCTGCTTTAATAAGTCAGATACAGATGCTGCAGCTGTACTCTCTTGTATTCTGATTTTTTTAAAAAAATCAGATGTGAAATACTAATATCAGATGTGAGATGAAGGGCTATTTATATTTAATTGTAAAATCAGTATGTTTTTAAAAAACAGGATAAGAAGACAACTCAGAAGTGTTTGGAGAAATGTTTCTTCACTTCATTCTTGTCTTACATATATCTGTTCATCTGTTGGGGACACATGTATGTTTGCGCATGCGCACCCCCCATTGATCCTAATACTCAACTTCCTCCCTATTATATATTAAAAATATATAAGCCTTTGATCACTTTGAAAATACATTTTAAAGATCTGTATTGTTCAGAGAATACATGTCATCAAGTTTCATATAAGTATTTATGAAACCAAAACCATACCACCAATGTTGCCACTTCAGAAAATTGTTAACTACCAAAATTGGCAAAACTGAAGAGTATATGGAATAAAACTGATTCATGACATGAAATCTGAATAGATTTATGGAAGTTGTTTGAGTGAAGCCACATGAGTTTAGTTGTCATAAGAAAATTAAGACTAAACTAAGAAAAAAATTAACATAAAAAACCCATTTATCAGTACTTATTATTCAAATTGCTTTTGTAATGAGCTCATGGTATAGAACAACTGCATGTTTTATGTTTCATTTTCATGAAAATTAAAAAGATTTTCTCTTTAAATATTAGGATAAATGGTATTTTAAATGATTTTAAAGATCAGATACAAAATCAACGAAAGTGGATGGAAAGTGAGTTGAGAAGATCTGAACAAGAAGAAGTCCATTTCACAAACCAGCTCTTTGCTACAGTCAAGGAGAGATTGGCAAGTGCTTTTGTAATTCATGCAAAAAATACAAGCATAACACACTTTCTCAAGAAGCCTCTTTTATAAGAAGAGCAGAAAGATTTTAAATGGATAAGTGTTTAGATCTGGTTAACATTCTCAGTGATCTTACATGAGTAATACTGGCTGAGTAATGGAAATGAGAATTCAGGGAAAGAGGATGGTGAGATTATCTCACGAAGAACCTACAACAGAAATACAGAAGTCTGGAACATCTGAAGGGAGCATAGGAATCAATCAGATTTTATTACCAGATATTGAAAGCCCATTTATCTTTGCTTTTTGTGTTCAATATATTGTTAAAGAAACGTAATATACTAAAGTTACTTTGGGGACTTGGGGCAGTCAGAGTTGTATGAATTTTAAGCTGCTACGTTATGGATGTTGTTCTTTCAATCACAGGCAATAAAATATGTCATCTTAAATAACTCTCTAACAGATGGCAGAGTGCTCCTTTTTCAAACTGCAATCTGTATTACAGCTTGAGTTTTTGGCAAGAGGAAGGATGTTGGCTTCATGCAAGCACTTAGGTTAAGTGTTTAGCTTCAGAAAGTAGCTGATCCAGGACCAGGACAATCTATCTGGACATAACTTTCTTCATTTTTTTTTTTTTTTGCGAGGGAGGGGAGCACTTGGTGTGAAAATCTGGAACACTTCACTTTAGTTTCAAAAAGAGACAATTTAGTTGTTTTATAAAATAATCTAAAAGACATACTCTATTATTGCTAATCCTAAATTATTGCACCATGCAGCAAGTTTTAAATGTTCTATTTTATAGATTAAAGCTATTGAATCTTTAAGTCAATGTTTCCTAAGTGCTTTGATTTTTGGAATCACTGTGCGCTTCTCATCAGTCAGAAATGGCTCTGCCTTCCAGTTTTAAATCTTCAGTTCTACCTTGAGATGTTTTTTTTTCATTAACCTTCATTGTGCTTGTATCTGCTTAGTAACTGAATCACAATGAAAAACCTAATAAAAATGAGTAAAATATTTGATAATAGGGGTACATTTATATGGCAGTATGTTATTTAATGTATTAAAAACTATTTATTTATATTTTGTAGTTAACTGCTCATTTTCCTCAGAGAAGGGCTTATTCCCCACTGTTCACTCAATAAGGTTTCCAACCCAAATTATAAATATTGGAATAATTGAAAACATATCATCTATGTAAATAAAAATATAAATGTTCATTTGTTCAAAATCTTAAATCTCCAAAAGTTCACCAATTGCTTTGCAATTTTGACACAACGTTGCATTCAAATATGTGTGTTTTTATATACCTATATTATATAGATGTCACACCTGCGACAGATAAAAACATGCTTTTTTGAAAACCAGCACCATCTGTTGGTCATAAAAGCAACACACACTATACTAAATATTTCATGATTCCATTTCAATGTTTCCGATTGCATTGTTATATTGAATTTTCATATATTTCGATTTATTTTCATTTTGATTTAATTATTTAGTGTGGCATTGCATTGGAATTGAGCTGTGTCATTTACCATAGTTCATTTTGTGAGTATAGTATATTCGGAACAGTTCGGCCTCTCTCCAGCTTCGTCCCGATGGCCCCTTTATATGTGTGGCTGAGCTGCGGCCGCACCCTTTCCCCTTTCGGCCACTCCTCCGACAAGCTTCGGCCATTTCTGCCAAGGGGAGCCGAAGCCCTTTGGCCTCCCCCTCCCCTCTCTCCCTTCCCCGCCCGCCGGGTCTTTGCTGTCTGCAGCAAGGCAGCACCTGCGCCATCCCTTAGCCACCTCCCCCGCCCTTAAACCAGCCTCCCCCGCCCAGCCAAGCGGAGCTCCAGAGGAGGTGGAGACGGAGCATCTCCTCAGCCCAGTCAGCCGTGCGTACTCTCCACCACCCCTCACAGCGAGCCAGCTATGGCCTTGCCAAGGCTGCTCTGACGGGGTGGCAATAGCGGTGTCAGCCTGAGATGCAGCGGGGCTGGGACGGCCGCTGGGTGCCCCGTGAGGTGGCAGCTGCAGTGGTAGCAGAGTCTCTGGATGGGGCCGCTGCTGGCAGGGGCTGCCTCACGTCCGCGTCACCAGGGGCAGCTCCTTCCTCCTCCTCTTCAGGGGACGCCGGCCGCCTCCTCTCGCTACCGCCGCTGAGGGAAGCTGGGTAGGGGGTGGCGGCGGCCTCCTCTCCTCAGCCAGGCCGGGGTGGCGCCTGAGGGAGGCGTTGTTGTCGGTTGCAGCATCAGGCCTTCCTCCCGCCAGCCTCAATGCAGCAGCAGCCACAGCAGCAGCAGCCTGACTCAGCGGCGGAGATGCGGGAGAGGAAGATGGCGCAGCCTGTGATGCTGCCTCGGCGGGCCAGCAGCAGCAGCACCGGCTTGGAGGACTTCCCACCCGGCCTGCTGGCCCAGCCGCCGCTGCCTCCCCCAGCCTCCGCATCCACCTCAGTCTCCTTCTGCCCTCCCAGGACGCCTCCACCGCAGAGCCTGGTACTGCTCTCAAAGGGAGGAGGCATTGGGGGTCCGGCAGGCACCCAGATCAAGAAGAGCGGCTTCCAGATCACCAGCGTGACTCCAGCACAGATCTCGGCCAGCCTCAGCTCCAACAGCAGCATCACTGAAGATACGGAGAGCTACGACGACCTGAACAAGTCGCACACCGAGGATTTCTCCTCCTCCGAGATCCTGAACGTCTCGCTCTCCCAGACCGCAGCTCCTCCAAGGAGACGCTCAACAACTTCCACAGCCCCGGCGCCATCTCCCCCAACCAGTCTCGCCCGGCCCAGCAGCCCCGAGGCCTGACCAATGGCAATGCCCACCCGCCACCCCACTATGCCCATGGGGGACACTCCCTCCCACACTGGGGTTCCCCCGCCCATGTCTGGAGGGGCCCCATCCAGCCCTTTGTTCCGGAGGCTGCCTGTTACTGGGAGCTTGGAGTGCGCCAGCCTGGGGCCTGCGGGAACGTCCTCCATGGCCGCTCTTGCAGGAGTCACTGTGGCTCACTTCCATGTGGGGGCCACCTCTGCTGGGAAAGCCGTGGCAGGTGCAGCAAGTGGCAGAGCCCGCCAGGTGGGCAAGACCTTCACGAACCTTGCCGCTGCTGACAATGGCATTACCCTGCCCGGAGGGAATCACCCTGGGAATGTTTCTTTCTTCGCATGCTGTTGGTAAATGTGCCCGGTCCAACGTCTTTCCAGCAATTGAAAATTGTTTCTCACATGGACAATTATATGTTGCGTGTTCTAGAGTTGGCAAACCAGACAATGTCTATATCTGCACAGACAATGGAACAACAAAAAATATTGTATACCCACAAGCCTTGTGAAATTAAACATATTAGAAACTTGCGCTTTCTCTTTTCTTTCTTTTCCATTTAACCAGACTGGGCCACAACAACACGTGGCCGGGTACAGCTAGTTTGAAATAAAAAGATGACAAGAAAAAAGTTGAGAAACAGAAAAGCAAACTCATAGTCAAATTAAGCATTATCTTAAAAATGTTTTTTGTTCAAAACATACCATGGGGAGAATTGGTGTTGATCCAATAGAGCCACAAACTAGATTGCCAAAAACTGACCCACAATTTTGAACATAAATTGCAGAGACCAATCTATCTGAATTTAGCCCATGATTTTTTTTAAACTCCAAAAATTAGGACACCAATGATGTAATTGCTATCCACAGCTTTAATTAGTAGCTTGGATCTTAATTACAATGTTGAACATTTTATGATGTTGGATCTAAACATGATGAGAGTTGGTTTCATGGCCAGTTTTTCATTTTAATTTTCTTTCCAGACTTGTACATGAGCCAGAAAATAAGAAGCAGCAGCATTTTTTCCCAAGCTCAACTGAAATTCTGGAAAAAGGCTTTTACAGTTAATAGTACTATATACTTGTGATATCTGCACTTCATGCAAAGGATTTTGATATCCAACATTTCTTTGGACCTTCCTCCCCTTCACTGTACCAAACAATTTTTATAAGCTGAAACATCTTCAGCTTTCATAGTAAAATGTATATCAAAAACTTTGGAAGCCTTTTACACCAAATTAGCTTTAAATCCATGCCAACGTCTTGGTTGTTCCATAAAAAGTCAGTTACCTATGTCACTGGAAAGTGAGATCTATCATTTTTGTAAATGTAAAGTTACAAATAAAAATAATTATAAAAATTATAGAACATCTGCAGAAAAAAATATAACAGATAAGCAGGGATAATTTCATTCCTTTACACTGAATGAATAAATATAACATTTTTAGTAGAGTAATTCTATTCATTTTTCACAATAACTCTTTCAAAAGGAAATACTGGAAAAGAAATTGGAAGATGGCTTATACTATGTCTCCAAAAGAATAGAAAACACAGAAAAAACATTGCAATTTGAACTCAGCGAGGTGAAAAATGATCAAAATAAACTACATGCAAAGATTACCAGATTTGAAAAGCTGATGTGGAATGAAATAGAAGGAATGCAAAATGAATACAGATCAGGTGAGGTTATTTTTCAAACTTACATGCATTTGTATGTTTGCATATGTGCAACTCCAGATTATCAAATCACACCATAAGCAGGAAAACAAAGTCTCCTTGCTGTGGTTCAATTTATAAACCTTTCTCTTCATAAAGGACAAGAAACAGCTTTCAGCAGAAATAACTGATTATTCTGATATTTAGATACAGAAATTGTGAGTTCAGGTCTATTGTTATTTCTAGTCTTCTGTTTTCATACCAGAAAATTATGTATATACTTTTAATCAGTCTGATTTCAGGCCTCACATTATTTATGCACCAAATGAGAACTAAACTAAACTCATCTTAAAGCTGATCCATTAACTTAACTGAAAAAAATGTTCATAAAATATTTCAGTGACACATTAAAATAATATCTTATTTTTATATTCCCCTTTCCCTTCTTATTTGTAAGCCGCCCTGAGTTTTCCGAGAGTGGGAGGCATACAAGTTAATTAATTAATTAATTAATTAATTAATTAAATAATAGATCAAAAGATGACTTTAAGCTAAGAAGCAATCGTCAAAAATTATTTTGGAATGCTGTATAAACACAAAATTTGATATTAATGATAATATTGACAACTTTACTAAAATATGTGTTATTTACCAGGATTTCAATCTATCCGTGACTCTCTTGACGCACTCAAACATATACAGTCAGCAAAACTAAAACTTGAAGAGGAGAAATTCAAGCAAGATATGAAAAAACTACAACGAAAACTTAGTGAACTCAAAGACTAATACATTTTGTTTCGCATTTACTGTACATTTATTCCATCAAGGGAAAATACTAAAAAGGTTTTAAAAGTTATTTCTACAAAATCAGACTTGTTTTCCTGTAACTCTAACAAAAGCACTGTGATAATTCTGAACAGACTTAAGTTAAAATAGAATCTCATTAACACTTCATTTGTTTGAATAAATAAAATGCAAGGGCTTAACAGCACTGTTGTGTAAGTTATTGCTTGATTTATTTTGACAAACCATTACATCAAATATCCATAGTTATATCCTGAAGTTCTCAAATTAGGAGCTTTCCTGCCTTTACAGAGAAACTTATACAACTTTATTTGCTCATTTATGTAATTTTGTTAGTTATGAAAAAGAAAAATAATTTCTTAAAACATTTGTCTCATTTTATGAAATCTTTTACAATTTTAATTGTTCTGCAAATTCAAATGAGTACTTTTACATGCAGTATTCTAGCTACCAATTTGTTTTTTACTGTTTTTAATTCTGATATTTACTTAGCTAAGTTTGCAAAAATGTAACCATATGCCCAGAAATATTCTATGAATAGATATGCAAGCCTCTTAAAGGCACTTAAATTTATTAACATTTAAAATGCTGCTGCTGTTGTTGTTTTTTTGTCAAAGTAGCTATGGAACTAGAAGATACAAGCAACATGTCCCTCCTTGACCAACTCTCAAGTACTGTACATTTTCTAACAATGAGATTCCAGATATAATTTATTACCAGTATTTGAGGAGAAAATATTCTTGAAAATTCAGATGGAACTTGCTTTGCAGTCTTCTATAAGATTGAAATCAAGTGGATGAATAATGCAAAGGATGTTGCATAACATTTTTACTTCCTGAAAGAAACTTCATTGCAACACTTCATCATTCTCCGAAGAAAAAAATATCAGAGCATCAACTATGAAGTTCCATCTGTTTTTAAAAACAAATTGAATAAATAGGAGGAAGAATTGGGGCCAACCTGAAAGGGAGCCATTCTTTAGCAGTAGTTCCAGTACTAATGTCCTTAAGTTGTAAAGCACTGAGGAAATTAATTTTTTTCTTCAATCCCATCTTTTGGGGATTATATTTGCTTCTATGTAGCACTGAAATTTGATAAAGAGTCTTATAGGGTAGATAACAGTAAACTTATAAACCCTTTTCTAATGTTGGGAGGAAACAACTGACTCTAATATATATTCTAATATAATGGCAGATGATGTCCTTTATTGGCTTTTACCTTCTCAAATCCAACAGCCAAAAAAAGGGAGAACATAGTTCAAAAGAAGCAGGGACTACGGTAATTAGGCAGCGAAACCAAGTAGAGAAAGTGGTTTTACAAGCAGTAAAAATTCTTATGTTTTTATAAAAAGCAGAATGAATCATTCTGTCAACCTTTATGTCAGAAGTGGGTTCCACAACTGATGTTTGTAAGGGCTATTTTGAATATGAATATCTAAAATTAAGAACTATTTCTTCAAAGGAACTCTCCATTCTATTGAAATGTAGATTTACTGTAATTATCTAATGATTAGCAGCACAAATATAATTTCACTTTAACAAGCAAACGGATAGTCATTATCAATAAAACATGCACTACGAAGGAAAAAAGAAGAGCTTAATGCATTTGGGTGAAGAATTCTTAAGAAAGGTTAAATATGAGCAATTCAGTTGGAGTCCTAGGTCTTATGTTTTTCATACTGTCCCTCCCAGAGTAGTTGGGAGTCAGACGGGATGTAAATATAATAAATCTAATTAATAAAAATAGAATTTAATGTGGAAGGAATATTACTTAACCCCTTTTTTCTGATAGGTTTAATTGTGGATGTAGATGGGTTGGGTGGTGGTGGAAAACAAGATAATTTTAAATCACAGAGATGACTTGAAATTAAAATTAAAATACACCACCATTTGGCTCCAAATTATAGCCCAGCATTTGTATATGAAAAACAATTTAAGAACAATGAAATGACATTTGTTCTTATAAGCATGTCCTACTTCATACTTACCATCTATTTTATGCTATGTTTGAAAGTACTCTATTCTGAAACAACTTGAACTTGATGAGCAAGGGAGCATCAAGTACTATGGCCTCATATCATCTTTGAATCTAATTTAAACTAAAAATATTTATTTCCAAAATGAACTCTAATGAAGGTAATGAATAAAATCAGAGAACTGAAAATCTACTTTTGTCAGGCTCTGCCCATCATCTCTCTGAAATCAAAGGTTTGCTGCAACTGTACCGTGAAAGACAGCCAGGACACATAACATTAAACATAGTCAGGAAAAAATTAAATATTTGGATGAAATCATAACGTTCTGAATTAAAAGGTTCTGCATGCAGAGTAAGATGTAAACAATGTTTCAACAGATTTTATTGTTTCATCACTAAGTTAAGGATTATTTATTTTGCTTGAGAAGCTGTAGAAAGATACATTGCTAAATGGAAAAAAATGAAATGGGACAGAAACAGCAAGGTCTTAGCAGACTATGAAGATAAATATAGTCCAAAGTTTATTTAACACATGGACGTATTATTAAGATTCCGTTTTATGACAGAAATATGTCACATTTAACTCTACAGTGGAGGTCAAAACTTTTGTGCTTTCCAAGGTCACTAGCATATACTGTAATTTCTCAGTAGGGGCACTGATTAAGTACTGCATATGTCAATAAAATTTCAACTGGATAGTTTAATAACTCTTTTAATATAAATTGGACAGTTAGCACTTGTGATTTAAACTCAAGGTATTTGTCATGAAGATGTTGTTTCCCAAAGCCTCCAAAGTTATTCTGATTCTTCACTAATGTTTGTGCTAGGAGGCTGCTGCTGAGAGTTTCTTGTCTAATTCCAAAACTCGAATATCTCCATTAGCTTTGGCATTTGCTGTAAGAGCCTGCAGAATTTGGAAACCAGAGAAAAAAAGATTTATGCGTTAATGTGAGTATCTCAGAGTGTAAGAGTTGTTTACTTATTTGCTAATCAATCACAAGCTAAATAGGCCAGTTGGTTGTATGCAGGGATTGCAAAAACCTCCTGAGCCAAACCATTCCATGCAGGGGATTGCTGCTTTAAGATGCTCTGGACCTGCTCTGAAACATTCATCTTTCAGATGTTTGGAATATACAGAATGAAATGGGACTGAAGAGTGTGGGGGTGGGGAAAAAGAACAGGCCAAAGAGTGAGGATATTCATTGTTAAAGGTACATGTAGGCAGCAGCGACTTGGGAGAGGCAGGGAAAGTGCTATGGTTAAGTGCTAAGCCAGTGGGACAAGCTGTTGCTGGGAGTTTGAACTGTAATAACCAAGATGTGCAAAAGTGGACACATTAGCAGCAACTAAGAGGAACTGGGGGGAGAGGGAAGAGATGAGGAAGATGGGAGGGCCTATAAGATCTGTTGCACTGGGACTTTAACAGCAATAGTTGTGGAGGGGAAGCAGAGGACCAAAGGAAAGCATTGAGATGAGAGGGGAAAATGGCCACTCAGAAGCGAAGGGAGGGGGTTAGGATTACTTCAGCATTAGGGTTACCTCAACATTGTTCTGCTAGCCCTGTGAAATCATTCTAGGATCTCTCTGAATTTTGTTTCAGTTAAAATCCAGAAATACCAAAACATTTTGTGTTTCAATACACAGCTAACCCAAAAGTGTAACTACCAGAACAAGATGCATTTGGGTTCGAAAGAAAAAACAACCTGTGCACACTTCTAGTTTTGCAACTTACAGTTTGAAGTATGGATAGTGAAGTAACTTAAGTAATATCATTATCCTCCATGCTATTTTTTATTTTTATTTTTTTCCCTAGTTTATTCCTCCAAAGATTGTGGCAAGATAGCCAAAGTTCCCATTCCACCTTTACTCTGTTCAATATTAAAACTGAAGCAGGCCACAATTGGTATGAACATGTAAGAGGTGAGGGGGAGGGGGAATCCAATGGCTTCTTCCACTTATCAGGAGTAACTGTCTTTTTTGTTGAAAGCAGATAAAGCAGTTCCCACACTGCTACCTCAGATTACGGTACATTCATTCTATGAAGGGGCAAAAAGGAACTAGGAGATAAATATATTTCTTGGAAAATGGAAGAATTGTTTTAATGTGTCGTCAGCTCCTCAGAGTTGCATTTGCAAGATGGATAGCCATATAAATGAACTTAATAAGCAATCCAATATTAAGGCAAACTCTTTAATTGCTGAAGCCACTGACTACTGTAATCAATGTTCTCTTTTTTAAAAAAATAACCTGATGGTTAACTATATGATTAATGAGCACTTTTGATTCATGAATGCATTATGGTATGAAAAAGAAATCTATTTTCAATATTGCAAATAATATTTCTTTATCTAACATATAACTATCATATATAGTTCCTTAAACTAAGGAAACAAAGTTCCTTAACTGTCTTTCAAGTTAAAGGTTAAAATGAATGGTACAACGTATAAATGCAACAATTTGAACTGAAAAAAGGTACATCAAATGTAACAGCTTACTACAAACATAAAATTGTAATCCTTCATTAAAGCTATTATAGACAAATTCTAATAGTGCTTCCTGAAAAGAACATTCTATAAGTGCAACATTAAAAGGTTTTTTTTTTGCAAATGAAATCCAGCGTATTTAATATATCCACCTAAATAAATAACAATGGACATATTAAACTCTGAAATAAAGCACTGAGAAACCTACTTAGCATATATAACATGGAAATATTTCTTACATCGATTAATTCATAATCATCTTTAGCATATAAATGTCTTAGGAGATACCATCGGGCAACTGATACTACAGTTTCTGGAAATCCAGATTGATATACCACTCTCTCTAACATACGACGTGTTTCTCTAAAAAACAACAACAGAAAAAGTAGAATACTGATTAAATGTTATAAGAAATAATGAGAAAATGGCAAAATAAGTACGAATCTACAGCATTTTAGATGTTCAAATACATACTTATATTTACATTAATTCATGTTTACAAGGAAGCATGATTTTCTCTCACTAAAAATGAGCAGAAAATAGTTACATTCTGGAATATAAAACTAAATCTAACACATCATTAAAAGACAGTGAATTACTGAACGGTGACATTAAGAGGAGGCACAAACAGCTTGTTAGATAGATGGTGACTGTTTACAGGTGAGAAAATGTCTTCATTATCACTCAATCAGATTCTTGGCCCAAGTTCAAAGAATAATTCCATG